ATTGAGTCAATTGAAAATACATACATATGCATGTACATAAATGAAATTGAATACTTATGTACGTAGATGTGTATGTATTTATATGCATATTTGCATTTATTTAATGCGTATATTTGTATGTAAGTAAGTATGTATGTATAATAAGTATATTGAAGTGGACGTTTGCGTATGTATGCATTATAAACCTAAATAAGAACGGGTTATTTTTCAACTTTCCCGTACATCCCAAGGCAAAGCTCGTTTAAGCACTATCGGAATTAATTCTTGAAATTATATAGTCTCCGCACAGAGATTAACACAATGCAACGATTAATTATTTTTAAAACAGAAAAAGGCCAATCGCAAGAATTGCCTGTACCTCAAATGGTTTTTTCCTAACTAATTAACTTAATTGTATTTAAATGCTATGAAATAATTTTATGTAATATAAATAAGTTCTAAACCGATACTGATATTGCATTTACTATAACTGTAAAATATGATTTTTGATTTTTGTTTTGGAAAACTCTATTTAATGCTATGTTTTTATATGCTATGATCTTGCATGTACATTAGAGTGGTCCAAAAGCAAGTCGGAATTTAATGACGCCGTCCCCTAGGATTGTTCTGAACGGAAAAAAATATACAGTCAGTCAATAAAGTTTAGGTACAGCAAATTTTTTGTAATACGGGCAACTATTTCTTAAATATTTTATTTTTCGCTAATTTTATATAAAAATATGGTTAATATGGTCTACAACAAAAACCCCAAAAAATCAGAGTTCCAAACCTTGTGCAAAATTAAGGAAAATTCTGCAAATTTTCATTCAAATATTGCTCTTTTTATTTACACTCTTTGTAAAAAAGTTGAGTATGCCTATTTAATTTTAGTACAATAAAGTGCAAGTCTGAGGAAGCTAGGACTTACCATTGATTTTTGGAATTTTTTATTTTTTTTTGTTGAAGGTGTCGCTCATTTTTTCCATATAAAAAAATTTCGAACATTATTTTGTATGGAGAAAATGAGACACCTTCAACAGAAAACTTTGCCAAAAATCAATGGTAAGTCCTAGCTACCTCAGACTTGCACTTTGTTATACTAAAATTGAATGGGCTAAAAAACTGCGTACCCAACTTTTCTTTAATGAGTATAAATAAAAAGTGCAATAATTGAATGAAAATTCGCAGAATTTTCTTTAATTTTGCACAAGGTTTGGAACTCTGATTTTTGGGGTTTTTGTTGTAGTATTAACCATATTAAATGAAATATTTAAAAAATAGTTGCCCGTGTTGCAATAAATTCGATTTGTACCTAAACTCCATTGACAGACTGTGCCCCTATTTTTTATTTTGAAATTAATAAATATTTAGGGAGTGCTCACAACGCTCAAAGTTTCGCAATGGTATAAAATTCTTGAAAATCAATATTTTTCGATCGGAACACTGTGGTTCTCTTCAGGAGACTTCCAGTATTAAAAACCAATTGTTTATTTAAACATTTTTTAATATTAAAGGTTTTTTATTGGCCCCCATTGCATTTTATGGGGGTTTTGGAGGACCTATAAAATATAGTTACCACGAAAAAATGGTTAAAGAAACAATTGGGTATTACTACTGGGAATCTCCTGAAGATAAGCAAAGCTTTCCGATCGAAAAATATTGATTTTTAAGAATTCTACACTATTTCTAGGAAAAGTTGTTTTCCCCATATAAAATACATGGAAAACTTTGAGCGCTTTGAGCACTCCCTAAACATTTTTTATCTAAAAAAAAATAGGGGTATATTTTTTCGGATTAGAACTAGCTTAGGGGGTGGCGGCATTAAAAATCCGAACTTATTTTTTCACATACATTTTTTGACCACTCTAATGTACATATGTATGAAATGTGTAGTGAGCTACGTACATATCTATGTATGTAAGTATGTAATAGCACTCATTAATTTCCGCAGGCGCATTAAACGCTGTTCAAGAATAAATTTATGGAAAACGAGTTTCAATCAGGTAATTAAACATCAGCGTGCCAATTTTTATTGAATATTTAATATCTAAATCTTTTCTCACATAAATGAGATAAAATATAAACTTATAACAAATTTGCAGCATCTAGTGAAACCTGATCGATTTGAGCAAAGCCATCGAAGAAAGATGAAGCAATTCCTAGTTTTAAATGAAGGTACTACATACTTATATGCTTATACATTGCATACAACTTTTGATCTCTTTTTGTAAGTTGACTGCTTAATGGGAATTAACATAACGCCGTCATCAATGCAAGGGAAAATTAGGAAATTTTATAATAAACTGTTTGCTTTCCTAAAAATGTTTAATTAAAGTACATAGAATATGCTTTCAAGTCTATTCTAAAAAAGCCAATAAATTTAGAGATATTCAATATGTACATATGTATTTACTAGTTTTGAATTTCGTCTATCGTTAAGTTAACATAGAAAGGTGATTCAAAATCTTAATAGAAAATCCAGTTGTTTAGCTCCGAACTCACATAAAACACTATATTTTATTGAAAATTTTATATAATTTTATATGTAGAAGTTATTTTAAAGTTCTAAACGAATTTTAGTGAGAAATCTGTCAATTTTCGTCTAAACTGAATTTCGATCCTTTCTATATTAAGGTAAGCGATTATAAATCAAGCTTAATGTATATTAAAAAATTAATTTCTCGGTCCCTTTGCCCTGACGTCGGTATTCATGGTATTGATGAAGAAATCGTGAAACTAAAGTATGAATAAAAAAGTATTCCCTATTATGACTTTTGATTCAGAATATGTAGCTTTTAAATGGATATTGATTCGATATATCGTCGTTTAAAGTACAAAACCGCTTAACTGACATTTGCTGCCAAAAATTGGATTTGCTCACACAAGCTCTTGGCTCAATACTTACCCATTTATTCTAAAATATACTAGTCAGAAATGCGATTGCTTTTTAAATAAAATTATAGTTTAAAAAACTAAAACCTCGCTATTATAATTTCCATTCGTACTGACATCAGGTATGTAACTTGAGAACAGAAATCGCTGCATCTTTTAGGCGCATCAATATTACATAGTTACATCCCGAGCTAATAAAAGGGTGGTAAAAAAGAGAACCATTTTGAAATATGAGTGTTTTTACTCTGAGAAAATAATTTATGCAGCCTCACATACTCGGTTTTGCATTATCTTGATATACGCGGTTTTGCATTTTGTTGATACGCTGTTTTGCACTTTAAACGACGATATGTAGTTTCATAAGCTTTTGAATCGGAATCTTAAAAATAATCCAAAAGGCCTCAAAAACCCAACGTTATATCCAAAAAAAAAAAAGAATAAGTCGATTTTTTTTTGCATAAATCAATTCATAGGACTTACATCCAACTAATGGAAATATTTCTTTTCTTCGTGATTATATACATTAAGTAAAAAAGTCCACAAGCAGTTAAATTTCCCTCTATGAATTTTTTAGTTACCTCACTTTAGATCTAGGCGATATGTACATACGTAATTAAGCATTTTAAATAGGTTTTTTGTTTATCAAGTGCCTGCTACTTTCCTTACGCATAAAAACAAGTTAATGGAAGTGAAACATAAGTATGTATGCATGTATGTCCAAGTACGCACTTTAGTGATATTAACTATGCATGTGTATTACGGTGATCCAAAAACAGTAAAGTCGGAATTGTAATGCTCTCACCCCCTACGATTGTTCTATATCGGAAAAAAGTATACCCCTATTTTTTATTTTGAAATAAAAAAATATTTAGAGGTCGCTCACAGCGCTCCAAGTTTACCATGTATTTTTATATGGGAAAAATAAATCTTTTCGTAGAAATGGTATAGAATTCTTGAAAATCAATATTTTTCGATCGGAAAACTCTGGTTCTCTTCAGGAGACTTTCAATAATAATACCCAATTGTTTATTTAACCATTTGTTAGTACTAACGATATTTTATTGGTCGCTCCATTGCATTTTTCGGTGCTTTTGTGGTTTTTTTGGCGGTCCTATAAACTATAGTTGCGATGAAAAAATGCTTAAATAAACAAAGGGGTATTATTGTTGGGAATCTCCTGCAGATAAACAGAGTTTTCTGGTAGAAAAATATTCATTTTTAACTATTCTATACCATTTCTAAGAAAGGTTGTTTTTTCCCATATATAACACATGGAAAACTTTGGGCGCTTTTAACGACCTCTAAGTATTTTTTGATTTAAAAATAAAAAAATTAGGGCATACTTTTTTTCAGTATAGAACAATCCTAGGAGTGAGAGCATAAAAATTCCGACTTTACTTTTTCACATGCATTTTTGGACTACGCTAATGTGTTTACTATATGAATACATTCTTCCGCTTTATTTACATACATGCCAGTTAATTATGCACAACGGATAGAAAATTAAACATATTCTCGAAATACTTTCACTTCCACCGGTAAATTAACTTGGCCGAATACACATAATTATTTTACATGAAAGTATTAAATTCGACATTAGCGGTGTCCAAGTTACTGTGACTCATTTAAGACTTTTTTTATTTGATTTTCAGGCGTCATATGGTTCAATTGTATATCAAATGACTGGCTATAAAATTTGAAGTTAAATGGAGTAGATATTTACATACATATGTGATTAGTTCTTTCTGAAAATGCCTTTCTTATGCAGACGGTCCTTTGGAGAATTTCAAAATACACAATAAATTCAACGCTTTTATTTTGTTCAACTAATGCTACGAACACTACAACTGAAGCAATCAGTGTCAAAACTTTGAATAAAAACCGAATCCAAAAATGCCTTATAATCAAAAATCGAAGGTCTTCTAAATACGGACAACCGCCTATGCACGTTTACACATATAAAAACTGGGAGGCAGAAATAATGAATATGACTTGAAAAGCGTAACTAAGCGCAAGTGCAGCGTTGCGTATTTGCGCGAGTGTATGTTGATATACACACATGCATATAGTAGCAGCGATGTACCTACTACTATGCATTATTTCTGTATGTAGGAATGAAATTATGCATATTCTTTTCATAATTTTTTTATTTAGTGGCGCAATTACAGACGCCTTGGCCGAACATTAAATTATATATTCTCTACGATTTTCATATATTTGAATGTTTTTTTTTTACTTTTATTATTTTGCATTTGCAACTTTTTTGCTTTCTTATACGTATGCAGCAGTAAAATGTACGTAAAGTGTGTGAAAGTCTGCTGGGTGTCAACATATATGCGGCGTTAACAAGCCAGTCCTGCCAAGTGTGTAACATCACGTTTAAAACTGTAAAAAAGAATATTATATTTATTAAAAAAAATTAGTTCTTGGGTTAGTATACATGAATTACAACTTTACAATCATTAAATTAATATAATTGGAACGTTCATCAAAAGCACACGAGACACACATAAATGCATTAAATGAATGACAATTAATTGCATGAAATGACAATGGCTCAACAAACAATTAGGAAATAGGGTTTTTACTGCCTCATATAATTTTTAAAGGCGTTTTAACAGCTAGGAAAGGTATTTGAGGATGTAATAGATATTTTAGATTTTAACTGAGGATAATAATAATTAATTTCTTAATGAGTAGACGTAAATATGTATATATGCACAAGTTTTGTGATTGGAAAAAATTATGGAAACAATAGAGATCTTCACACCAATTTCGTTAGCAGGCAGTTCGGCAAAAAAGTATTGCTGTGAACGACCATTTTAGTTTATTTCTGTTTGTCTGCGAAAATGATGTTTCTAACAGGTGATTTATAGCAATTTAGTTTTAGTTTTTTTTTCAGAAATGAGTGGTCTGAAGAAATACATATACTGACTAAACCAACTTTGGGGCAGACTTGATTTGGTTCCTCTAAACTTTTTTCTGTATATTTCTGATTCTAAACTTAAAAATAAAAACTTGATTTTGTCTTATATACGTATCTGTGTTCATATGGAATAGTAGCTTGTGTCAAAAGGCTGGCTTCAGTATAATGCGGCGTTCGCAGCATACGATTGCGAATGACTCACTGGTGCCGAGCCGTTGAAGAACTTTTGGCAAATAAACGCGCAAGAAATAGTTCCGATACTAGCAAGTCAATATTCCTATTAAGTCTCATCAAAAAATTCCTCTTCGTTTAAAGGATAAAAGGAATTCCGCATTATACTAAAGCCAGCTTCTCGACATAAACTACTATTCCATACGAACACAGATATGTACATATGTCCGCGGAACGTAAAAGGTATGCTGCCATAGAAAAAATTAGAGCCTATTGAATATTTTGAAAGTCACAGAATAGTGGCAAGAATAGTCCTTTTAGAGGAATATAGATCTTAAAAGGTGTTTAAAAACTTATTTTAGGGACATGGTCTAACAACTGCTACATAAACCCAGCCCATAGCTCTCTTCTCCAAGTATATAGCCGTATACTATTAACGTAACGCTGAGGTATATATCTTTTCTACCCAGCTCAAATTCTTATTCAAATGTAACCCTTTAATCATGATACTTAGGTAGGTTCCGTTTAGTTCCGGAGTAGTTACCGATATTATACCCTCTTGTATAACAAAGTTTCCCTTTGTCCGAATTCGCGGCGTCTGTGAGGAGGATTGATCTCTGTACGTGATAGCGACCTTATCAGCTTTATCGTCAACCACCAGGTCTCCAGTAAGCGGTAAATTCTACGGAAGTGACGAGCGTTACCACGACAGTCGGGTCTACGTAACCGGAACGACCCAGATTTATATCTGGCCAAGGACTGTCACTTCAGCAACAATCCCCAAAATCTCTTTGGGGAATTTGTATGCTGTTACAACAACAACAACGGAAGTGACGAGCATACCGTCACCTGAAATGCAAAAGGACGTAACAAACATCGTCATTGAAATGCAAAAAGTCGTAACTTATAAAAAATTCAAAATTAACTTTTTGATTGCTATGATGGATTTCATCGAATTATAACTTCAGTGACGATGTTGTTACGTTATTTTGCATTTCAGGTGACGATACACTACATTGAAACGTGGTTCTAATTCAAATCTACTTTTATAACTCTGACTACGCGCGTAAAGCCCCAAGAAGGCTACACGACGCTTGTTCCAGTATGTGAACTTCCCTGAAAGTGCGTGCTCCGAGCAGTTATATTGTTTAATATGTCATTGTCGTCCAAGACTATCTTGCTTCTGTAGGAAGTAGTTTTCGGAAATACCGTCAACAGCACCACAAAAATAATTCGAGGACAATTGTTTACCTCTCTTAATATTTTTGCCATGCAGACTCGCAATTCAATCTCTTGACCTTTTTGAACTGCATGCAGCAAGATTTCGTCAACGAGTCAGCCCCTGACCCGACCAGTGAGTGCGGCTTACATTTTCTCTGCGATTTCGGATCAACGAAAGCCTGTAATAGGGCCTTTTAACAAGTCATATTAAAGGGTTATACATATCCTCTAATTCCAACGGGAGGCTCATTTAATACTGCTTCAAATTCTGCCAGTTTTTTAACGACCTCAAAAAAGGAGGAGGTTATCAATTCGTCAGATTTTTTTTTGTATGTTACCGCATAACTTTACCGTCTTCACGACCACGATTTCGAAAATTCTTTTCGCATCGGAAAGGTAGTGTCCCATACTAATCTGGTTTAGATCCGATCATTGGATCATGAAAAATTAACGGTACTTCTAAATTTTTATACGAGAATTGAAGTCGGTTTTGTTTTTTGCTTAAAAATTACTTGTTCATAAAACAAGATCGGAACAAAAGTGCAGTTTTTGTCAATAAATAGACTCTAGCTCCCATTCAATTTTAGTATAGTAAAGTGCAAGTTTAAAGTAAAGTATGCTCGAAAACTCTTTTATATGGAAGAAAATGCAAGACCCGGAAACTAATGCCAAAAAAACGGCATTTTGATGAAAATTGAATGGGTTACAAAACGGCGTACCCGATTTTTTTTTTTAAGTATTACTATCAACTTATACTAGATGTTTCATGTTGTTAGACCCGTCTGCTATTCATTTGGAGATTTTTGGCGATCAAAATTAGCGACTGTGGTTTTCATATTCCCATGCAGACTATAAATACGATTTTCAGTATTATATCTACTCCAGCGTAATCTGACGAGCAGATTTTTTTTCATACAAACCTTGTCTTATTAATAACTAATATAATACAAAAAAGCGTTGTAAATGTGCCAAATCGGTTCAGCATTGTGACAAACTGACCTCTCGAATTAAATAAAATAACTTCAATTTTTGAAAATTAAATATAAAAATAAGAGCCAATGCAAACTATAACAACTTATAGATAGCAACTAAATTATAATACTTAATTAATTTTTTTTTTAATTATTTGGCGGGAGTGATAACAATTTAGACTTCGGTGTTTACGTGAGGTGCTTATTGTGACGCCTAGGTTTCGAAGAGTTAAGCATCAACACTTAATCAACCACATAAAAGCGTTTTCATTTTACGATTTCCGTTTTTCATATTATATCCTATTGTTATTACCAATTGTTTTATGATGATTTGGTTCATCATCGTTGATTATATTGCTGCGATTGCGAATATTTTGGCCCGTAATCAGTGCCTTTACGCATAGAACTCGCGGAGTTGGTGGATGCAGATGTGGATGTGAAGGAATCCGAGTTATGAACTCTATTCTTACAGTCCTTATAACTTTTATGATTAACACTCTTAGTATCGTCATAGTCGTCATCGTCATCGTTTGACTCTCCGAAGAGTTGGTTCATATTATTCGATAGCAGTTGCATCTGTAAAATTATTTTCAAATCTATTCAAGCCAATGCCTTAAAATTTTGATAAAACACGCTTGTTAAAGCGTTTAGGAAACCCATTACCACACTGATTAGTTTTTTTTTT